TTTCAGCCTGATTGGACCATGTTTTCACACAAATGAACCCAGAATGATGTGAAATTGTCCTTCGTGCAACATAATTCTGGGTGCCATTTAAAAACCATAAGTGCTAATGACTCCATTCCTTTTTGGGGTTGTAGGGGCTGTTAATTGGAGTACTCCAAACCAAACCTGACCTCTCTAGGATATTCAGAAGCCAAGTTATAAGCCCACAAATGTGTAACTGGACTACTTCTTTAAAGTGACACCAGGCCCGGTGACCTTTGGGACATGGTTTGACCCCCTATAGGAATGTGCGATCATCATGAAACGTTCAGATCACTTACAACTCAATAGATTATACCTTCTTGTAAAGTTTCAGCCTGATTGGACCTTGTCTTCACACAAATTGACCCAGAATGATGTGAAATTGTGCTTCGTGCAACATAATTCTGGGTGCCATTTACAAACCATAAGTGCTAATGACTCCATTCCTTTTTGGGTTAATGGGGGCTGTTAATTGGAGTACTCTAAAACAAACCTGACCTCTCTAGGATATTCAGAAGCCAAGTTATAAGCCCACAAATGTGTAACTGGACTTCTTCTTTAAATTGACACCAGATCCGGTGACCTTTGGGACATGGTTTGACCCCCTTAGGAAAGTGCTATCATCATGAAACGTTCAGATCACTTACAACTCAATAGATTCTACCTTCCTGTATTGTTTCAGCCTGATTGGACCATGTTTTCACACAAATGAACCCAGAATGATGTGAAATTGTCCTTCGTGCAACATAATTCTGGGTGCCATTTAAAAACCATAAGTGCTAATGACCATTCCTTTTTGGGGTTGTAGGGGCTGTTAATTGGAGTACTCCAAACCAAACCTGACCTCTCTAGGATATTCAGAAGCCAAGTTATAAGCCCACAAATGTGTAACTGGACTACTTCTTTAAAGTGACACCAGGCCCGGTGACCTTTGGGACATGGTTTGACCCCCTATAGGAATGTGCGATCATCATGAAACGTTCAGATCACTTACAACTCAATAGATTCTACCTTCTTGTAAAGTTTCAGCCTGATTGGACCTTGTTTTCACACAAATTGACCCAGAATGATGTGAAATTGTGCTTCGTGCAACATAATTCTGGGTGCCATTTACAAACCATGAGTGCTAATGACTCCATTCCTTTTTGGGTTAATGGGGGCTGTTAATTGGAGTACTCTAAAACAAACCTGACCTCTCTAGGATATTCAGAAGCCAAGTTATAAGCCCACAAATGTGTAACTGGACTGCTTCTTTAAAGTGACACCAGATCCGGTAACCTTTGGGACATGTTTTGACCCCCTTAGGAAAGTGCTATCATCATGAAACGTTCAGATCACTTACAACTCAATAGATTCTACCTTCCTGTAACGTTTCAGCCTGATTGGACCTTGTTTTCACACAAATGAACCCAGAATGATGTGAAATTGTGCTTCGTGCAACATAATTCTGGTTGCCATTTAAAAACCATAAGTGCTAATGACTCCATTCCTTTTTGGGTTAATGGGGGCTGTTAATTGGAGTACTCTAAAACAAACCTGACCTCTCTAGGATATTCAGAAGCCAAGTTATAAGCCCACAAATGTGTAACTGGACTACTTCTTTAAAGTGACACCAGATCCGGTAACCTTTGGGACATGGTTTGACCCCCAATAGGAATATGCGATCATCATGAAACGTTCAGATCACTTACAACTCAATAGATTCTACCTTCTTGTAACGTTTCAGCCTGATTGGACCTTGTTTTCACACAAATGGACCCAGAATAATGTGAAATTGTGCTTCGTGCAACATAATTCTGGGTGCCATTTACAAACCATAAGTGCTATTGACTCCCTTCCTTTTTGTGGTTGTAGGGGCTGTTGATTGGAGTACATGAAAACAAACCTGATCTCTCTAGGACATTCAGAAGCCAAGTTATAAGCCCACAAATGTGTAACTGGACTACTTCTTTAAAGTGACACCAGATCCGGTGACCTTTGGGACATGGTTTGACCCCCAATAGGAATGTGCGATCATCATGAAACGTTCAGATCACTTACAACTCAATAGATTCTACCTTCTTGTAACGTTTCAGCCTGATTGGACCTTGTTTTCACACAAATGAACCCAGAAAGATGTGAAATTGCGCTTCGTGCAACATAATTCTGTGTGCCATTTGAAAACCATAAGTGCAAATGACTCCATTCCTTTTTGGGGTTGTAGGGGCTGTTAATTGGAATACTCTAAACCAAACCTGACCTCTCTAGGATATTCAGAAGCCAAGTTATAAGCCCACAAATGTGTAACTGGACTACTTCTTTAAAGTGACACCAGGCCCGGTGACCTTTGGGACATGGTTTGACCCCCTATAGGAATGTGCGATCATCATGAAACGTTCAGATCACTTACAACTCAATAGATTCTACCTTCTTGTAACATTTCAGCCTGATTGGCCCTTGTTTTCACACAAATGGACCCAGAATGATGTGAAATTGTGCTTCGTGCAACATAATTCTGGGTGCCATTTACAAACCATAAGTGCTAATGACTCCCTTCCTTTTTGTGGTTGTAGGGGCTGCTGATTGGAGTACATTAAAACAAACCTGATCTCTCTAGGAAATTCAGAAGCCAAGTTATAAGCCCACAAATGTGTAACTGGACTACTTTAAATTGACACCAGATCCGGTGACCTTTGGGACATGGTTTGACCCCCTTAGGAAAGTGCTATCATCATGAAACGTTCAGATCACTTACAACTCAATAGATTCTACCTTCCTGTAAAGTTTCAGCCTGATTGGACCTTGTTTTCACACAAATGAACCCAGAATGATGTGAAATTGTGCTTCGTGCAACATAATTCTGGGTGCCATTTGAAAACCATAAGTGCTAATGACTCCATTCATTTTTCCGGTTGTAGGGGCTGTTAATTGGAATACTCTAAACCAAACCTGACCTCTCTAGGATATTCAGAAGCCAAGTTATAAGCCCACAAATGTGTAACTGGACTACTTCTTTAAAGTGACACCAGGCCCGGTGACCTTTGGGACATGGTTTGACCCCCTATAGGAATGTGCTATCATCATGAAACGTTCAGATCACTTACAACTCAATAGATTCTACCTTCTTGTAACATTTCAGCCTGATTGGACCTTGTTTTCACACAAATGGACCCAGAATGATGTGAAATTGTGCTTCGTGCAACATAATTCTGGGTGCCATTTACAATCCATAAGTGCTAATGACTCCATTCCTTTTTGTGGTTGTAGGGGCTGTTGGTTGGAGTACATTAAAACAAACCTGATCTCGCTAGGACATTCAGAAGCCAAGTTATAGGCCCACAAATGTGTAACTGGACTACTTCTTTAAATTGACACCAGATCCGGTGACCTTTGTATGAGGCCAGAACAGTCTCAATAAGAATTAAGTCACACAACGTTTTCCACAAATGCACACGTTCATTCGGAAATCCACATTCTGTGTTTCACAAATATAATTCGGAGGAACACAAATGCACACGCTCATTCGGAAATTCACACTCTTTGACTCATAAATATAATGTGAAAAAATAAGTCACGCAACATTTTCCACAAATGCACACGCTAATTCTGAAGTTCACACTCTGTGGTTCACAAATATAATTTGTAAGAACACTTGTAATATAAACTCAGATCATACGAATTGCTGAACGTGCATTTACGAACAGCTTCTCATTTGTGAACCTTTCTGCGTTTGTGAGTGAAATCTGTGTTGTACATTCATGGACAGCTTCTCATTTGTGAACCTTCCTGCATTCGTGAGAGAAATCGGTGTGCTGAATTTTGAGACTCTCCTAACGTCGCAGGTCAACAAACGTCACCATTGGCTAATGAACCTGTCAATCAAATATATGCTTCTGCCAGGGCTGTTCACTTTCAGCCAATGGCTCCTTATGTTACAGAACAGATCTGCTGTGTGCATAAGTCGGACACAATTTCCTGCATGTGTAGCTCGGGGGTGACGATGGATGAAGATATCGCGTTAGCGTTCATACTTGTTTAATTTTCAATTTTAATTCTGGTGCCTGTTAGCAGCTGAAACACATCATCACGTGCTTGTGGATATCAAATATCGAATATGAAAACATGACTGTAATAATAAGTAAAGGTTAGCAGCTGTAGCTTCAGTGTGCTCATAGGAGACATGACAAAAGAACACAAACCACATTTCTCTTTATGGCCTATATAGTTGTCATCATTAACGTTACATGATTTACAGAATACATGTGACCAACTAACATTTCATGTTCTACCACCGGATGTTTGGATCAAAATATGAACCAATCAGATCTTAGATCAGGTGAGAGCCAGGCGTTTCCCATCATGCCCTAGGTTTTGCAGCCAAGGGAGAACAACTGCAGCGCCTTGCTCCAAAATCTGCGGCCGCCTTGATCTCAAGTGGTTATCGTTGCCTACGTATGCATGACGTCAGAGCAAGTCGGCGTCAAGTCGGACACAAATCTAACCGGTTACATTACATTACCAACGCTCCACCATATGGGTGGCCTCTTAATAATCTTATTCAGAAAAATTATGCATTTTTACTAAGTGAAAGCAAACCCGTTAGGGGCAGAGACCTCTTGAAGCTCATATTAAACATTGTCTGCAGAGAAGGTAAGAGAAGCTAGTAAATCATCAGGCCTATTCCATGGGAGTGACTCTGAAAAGGAGCAAAAGCTCCAGCTCTTTATCTTGGCAGGTGTCTCTATTCTCCTGTGTTCAGGCTTTTGGTTACATCAGTTACTTTTCCTTTTAATGAGCTGCATATATTTCTAACACAGCCTTCAGTGACATCAAGAAAAAAAACTTTTTAATTGTAAAAGACATTATTCTCATTCTGAGAACAAATGAACAAACTGTGTGTGGGTATGTGTGTCCAGTTGCAACTTAACACAGACTCAGAAGCATAGAGAATCTTCTCACAACACCTAATCATCCCTTGATCAAAAAACCAGTAGATAGAATCTTGTCATGTTATTCCATTTAATAAGTAGACGGACGGAGGTATAGTACAAGTTTTCAAGTGTAATGAAGATGATCGCAGGGTAACACAGTTCCCCTTAAATGTTGAGCAAAAGTTATGAAACGAGACAAAATTCAAACAATAACATGTAAAAATAAATGGATCTCCTGATAAGTAGGTGCTTCACCTTTAAATGTTTTTATTAGAGCTGGATACACAGGAAGATGCATGTTACTAAACCAACACTAGCAATGATAGCACATTTACATTTTGAAGAATTGTAGCATAGATGAAGTGAACAGCAGCCTTTTCAAATACATTCCTGGTCTAAAATAAATCAGGCTGACAAAGACTTTAAGGAAATACACAACTATAAATGAATTTAGACATCTATTTTGGGGTCTATCCTTTAGCATTTCATATTTACAAAGGCAAATCCCTTGAATAACAATATACAGTACATTAACCTTAAAATGGACCACTCCTTCACTTTTTAACTTCCTTCCTTCCTGTCTCATTAATTGTTTTCTTTCTTCCTAACTCCCTACCTTCCCTCTCCTTCCTTCTTCACACATGTAATCATCTAGCCTCAAGTAAGTTCTCAACATACTGGACAGTGTGAAGATATGTGTCCACTCCCAAAAGAGTCTGAATGTTGCAACGGATTATGTTGTCCTGCAGTTCCAACATTTCATGATCTGTAAGAGGACTGTCCAGTACAGGGACATTGATCCCAGGATGAGGTTCAGTCATGTATCCATTCTCCTCCCATTCAATCTCTGGTGTCGGTATACCCTGGAAAAGGAAAGTGTGTATGAGCATTGTGCATAATGAATCTCAAGAAAACACATTTAATAAAGCCCTATCATGACCTTTTAACAATTACTTAACATCAATGATGTCAGGCAGAACCTAGCATCTCCATTATTTCATAAATTATTATTTTTTTAATTAATGGGCTACTTTTATGTTAAAACAGCAGTGAGAATATCACATCTGGAAGGTCTAATGCCTTGCATTTTGAACTTGCAGATGTGTCATGACTTTGTAATGTCATGACATTATAGTTGAGTGTCCATTTCAGTAGAGGTGCACACAAACAGAACTGTAATTTCAACAGCCATTTTGTCTTGAATCCAAGAAGCATAGAGCAGAGGTAGATTATCAAAGTGTTGAACATTTGATTTTTAGTTAAGGATCAACTTGACATGTAATCAGTCATTTTAACAGAACATACATTTGCCCCTGGATCAGAAACAGGATTCAGAGCCTGGCCCAGATGCCACAGCTGATTTGGTGTCATGTTTTCCTCTGTCCTGATTGGATGGTTGTCCCACGCATCTCTAAAGACATCCAGGCTGGCCTGGATGCGAGACAAGAAAATATAGTGGCAACAAAACATGTGAAGGATGTTACTGATGTCGAGCAAGTCTTGGTCTTCCAGAGAGTGCAGGATGTTGTAATATAGACCAGTAACACTCATGAAGACATCACGCCACAGGCGCTCGATCCTGGATTTGGAGGGGGATTAAATAAAAGAAAATTATAATATACACACAAATTTACATGTCCATACATCCGTTTTCAACTTGAGTTATCTTTTGAATGGTCGCAGGAGGACTGGTGCCTATCTCTAGCAGTCACAGTGTGAGACGAAGGGTGCACCCTGGGCAGGTCAACAGGCACAGGCACGCGCGCACAGACACAAAGCTTCCAAATTAGGTTAAACTCACCGTTGATTGTGTACACTTTTTCCTGCAATGAAGCTGTTGGTGTCAGTTCCACGAACTGAGAACATTAATTCTGCAACACCTACATTTTCTCCGCCATGATCTCCTCTCACCATGAAAAAAAAAAACATTAGAATCTTGCTTCAAACATTTTTAATGCACATCTATAACAATCTACATCAATTTGAGTCTCACAGAAATTTCCTTATGTACCTTGCTACTAAGTGAGTAAACAATGTGGCATTATTAACCCTCTGCTGGGGAAATATTTTTTGAAAGAGGGAAATGTCCCCCCCCCCCCCCCCCCCCCCATAGATTTTACTATATGACCTCAAATGGCATGTTATCTTTGGTCAATAACACACTTTAGGCAAAAGCAGATTTGTAACAGGGTAACAGAGGGTAAAGTTGGGAATAACATGAATACCTCAGAGGAAAGCCATGCTCATTCACAGCTTCACTGAAGAAGGCAAGGTGGGTGTCTGCCCGGTTGTTGTCAGCTACCTTCAGGTACATGATCTATGTAATTCAAGCACAAACACTCTCATATGACACATTTTTATAGGGGTCAAAACAATCAATTACCAAATGAAAGGTACAACAGCCATACAATAACATGTTAGATAATTAAATAAGTTAAGATCTGTGAAAACCAAAAATAGCAATTATCTTCTATGAAAATATCTCAGTCATTAACGTTCATGCTTTGGAGCAGAAAAAGTGCATGACAATTAAATATTTCAAGCTCAGTTCGCTCCACTCTGATGGTCACCTGTTCCAGCCAGATACCTTCTTTCTAGGTGTTCAAAGTCGGAAACTCGCTGAGTAAACTGGGTGCTTAGAGGAGTATCTTCAGTTGTTTAAGACTGAGGGTAACGCTGCACACGCTGATTCGACTAGCATGGATGCTAATGATGTAAACATAAAAGAAGGCTTGCTTCGTCTCGCGCGCTAACGCCGCAAAGCACTATGGGATTAGTAGTCTTATTATCAAAATCGCCCGGCGGGCCAGGTTTAATATTATATATTTGATATTTGATTTCGCGGGGCAAATAAAAATAGACCAAGGCCTTGAGTTTGACAACCGTGGCCTAAAAAAATGGTACCTAGATACGCTAACTAAAAAAATGTTCACTTGAGTTTAGCTTGATGTTAAACTAGATGAAGAATGGACCAGACTTCACGTAACGTCTGGACTGAATTTAACATAAAACATTTTACTTGATCATGAAGAACGCTTCTACTCATAATTCTATAACATTGCATAAATTACAACGAGGGAATAAGATAAAACTATTACTCACAGATCGTGACCCGTCCATCCTGCTCTGACGTGTGAACTGCAATGCGCATGCGCACAGCAGATCTGTTCTGTGACATAAGGAGCCAAATGATTGGCTGAAAGCGAACAGCCCTGGCAGAAGCATATATTTGATTGACAGGTTCATTAGCCAATGGTGACGTTTGTTGACCTGCGACGTTAGGAGAGTCTCAAAATTCAGCACACCGATTTCTCTCACGAATGCAGGAAGGTTCACAAATGAGAAGCTGTCCGTGAATGCACCACACAGATTTCACTCACAAACGCAGAAAGGTTCACAAATGAGAAGCTGTTCGTAAATGCACATTCAGCAATTTGCATGATCTGAGTTTATATTACAAGTGTTCTTACAAATTATATTTGTGAACCACAGAGTGTGAACTTCAGAATTAGCTTGCGCATTTGTGGAAAATGTTGCGTGACTTATTTTTCACATTATATTTATGAGTCAAAGAGTGTGAATTTCCGAATGAGCGTGTGCATTTGTGTTCCTCCGAATTATATTTGTGAAACACAGAATGTGGATTTCCGAATGAACGTGTGCATTTGTGGAAAACGTTGTGTGACTTAATTCTTATTGAGACGGTTCTGGCCTCATACCTTTGGGACATGGTTTGACCCCCTTAGGAAAGTGCTATCATCATGAAACGTTCAGATCACTTACAACTCAATAGATTCTACCTTCCTGTAACGTTTCAGCCTGATTGGACCTTGTTTTCACACAAATGAACCCAGAATGATGTGAAATTGTGCTTCGTGCAACATAATTCTGGTTGCCATTTAAAAACCATAAGTGCTAATGACTCCATTCCTTTTTGAGTTAATGGGGGCTGTTAATTGGAGTACTCTAAAACAAACCTGACCTCTCTAGGATATTCAGAAGCCAAGTTATAAGCCCACAAATGTGTAACTGGACTACTTCTTTAAAGTGACACCAGATCCGGTGACCTTTGGGACATGGTTTGACCCCCAATAGGAATGTGCGATCATCATGAAACGTTCAGATCACTTACAACTCAATAGATTCTACCTTCTTGTAACGTTTCAGCCTGATTGGACCTTGTTTTCACACAAATAGACCCAGAATGATGTGAAATTGTGCTTCGTGCAACATAATTCTGGGTGCCATTTACAAACCATAAGTGCTAATGACTCCATTCCTTTTTGTGGTTGTAGGGGCTGTTGATTTGAGTACATTAAAACAAACCTGATCTCTCTAGGAAATTCAGAAGCCAAGTTATAAGCCCACAAATGTGTAACTGGACTATTTCTTTAAACTGACACCAGATCCGGTGACCTTTGGGACATGGTTTGACCCCCTTAGGAAAGTGCTATCATCATGAAACGTTCAGATCACTTACAACTCAATAGATTCTACCTTCCTGTATTGTTTCAGCCTGATTGGACCTTGTTTTCACACAAATGAACCCAGAATGATGTGAAATTGTGCTTCGTGCAACATAATTCTGGGTGCCATTTAAAAACCATAAGTGCTAATGACTCCATTCCTTTTTGGGGTTGTAGGGGCTGTTAATTGGAGTACACCAAACCAAACCTGACCTCTCTAGGATATTCAGAAGCCAAGTTATAAGCCCACAAATGTGTAACTGGACTACTTCTTTAAAGTTACACCAGGCCCGGTGACCTTTGGGACATGGTTTGACCCCCTTTAGGAATGTGCGATCATCATGAAACGTTCAGATCACTTACAACTCAATAGATTCTACCTTCTTGTAACGTTTCAGCCTGATTGGACCTTGTTTTCACACAAATGGACCCAGAATGATGTGAAATTGTGCTTCGTGCAACATAATTCTGGGTGCCATTTACAAACCATAAGTGCTAATGACTCCATTCCTTTTTGTGGTTGTAGGGGCTGTTGATTTGAGTACATTAAAACAAACCTGATCTCTCTAGGAAATTCAGAAGCCAAGTTATAAGCCCACAAATGTGTAACTGGACTATTTCTTTAAACTGACACCAGATCCGGTGACCTTTGGGACATGGTTTGACCCCCTTAGGAAAGTGCTATCATCATGAAACGTTCAGATCACTTACAACTCAATAGATTCTACCTTCCTGTATTGTTTCAGCCTGATTGGACCTTGTTTTCACACAAATGAACCCAGAATGATGTGAAATTGTGCTTCGTGCAACATAATTCTGGGTGCCATTTAAAAACCATAAGTGCTAATGACTCCATTCCTTTTTGGGGTTGTAGGGGCTGTTAATTGGAGTACACCAAACCAAACCTGACCTCTCTAGGATATTCAGAAGCCAAGTTATAAGCCCACAAATGTGTAACTGGACTACTTCTTTAAAGTTACACCAGGCCCGGTGACCTTTGGGACATGGTTTGACCCCCTTTAGGAATGTGCGATCATCATGAAACGTTCAGATCACTTACAACTCAATAGATTCTACCTTCTTGTAACGTTTCAGCCTGATTGGACCTTGTTTTCACACAAATGGACCCAGAATGATGTGAAATTGTGCTTCGTGCAACATAATTCTGGGTGCCATTTACAAACCATAAGTGCTAATGACTCCATTCCTTTTTGTGGTTGTAGGGGCTGTTGATTGGAGTACATTAAAACAAACCTGATCTCTCTAGGACATTCAGAAGCCAAGTTATAAGCTCTCAAATGTGTAACTGGTCTACTTCTTTAAATTGACACCAGATCCGGTGACCTTTGGGACATGGTTTGACCCCCTTAGGAAAGTGCTATCATCATGAAACGTTCAGATCACTTACAACTCAATAGATTCTACCTTCCTGTAACGTTTCAGCCTGATTGGACCTTGTTTTCACACAAATGAACCCAGAATGATGTGAAATTGTGCTTCGTGCAACATAATTCTGGGTGCCATTTAAAAACCATAAGTGCTAATGACTCCATTCCTTTTTGGGTCAATGGGGGCTGTTAATTGGAGTACTCTAAAACAAACCTGACCTCTCTAGGTTATTCAGAAGCCAAGTTATAAGCCCACAAATGTGTAACTGGACTACTTCTTTAAAGTGACACCAGATCCGGTAACCTTTGGGACATGGTTTGACCCCCAATAGGAATGTGCGATCATCATGAAACGTTCAGATCACTTACAACTCAATAGATTCTACCTTCTTGTAACGTTTCAGCCCTATTGGACCTTGTTTTCACACAAATGGACCCAGAATAATGTGAAATTGTGCTTCGTGCAACATAATTCTGGGTGCCATTTACAAACCATAAGTGCTAATGACTCCCTTCCTTTTTGTGGTTGTAGGGGCTGTTGATTGGAGTACATTAAAACAAACCTGATCTCTCTAGGAAATTCAGAAGCCAAGTTATAAGCCCACAAATGTGTAACTGGACTACTTCTTTAAATTGACCCCAGATCCGGTGACCTTTGGGACATGGTTTGACCCCCTTAGGAAAGTGCTATCATCATGAAACGTTCAGATCACTTACAACTCAATAGATTCTACCTTCCTGTAACGTTTCAGCCTGATTGGACCTTGATTTCACACAAATGAACCCAGAATGATGTGAAATTGTGCTTCATGCAACATAATTCTGGGTGCCATTTGAAAACCATAAGTGCTAATGACTCCATTCCTTTTTGGGGTTGTATGGGCTGTTAATTGGAGTACTCTAAACCAAACCTGATCTCTCTAGGATATTCACAAGCCAAGTTATAAGCCCACAAATGTGTAACTGGAATACTTCTTTAAAGTGACACCAGGCCCGGTGACCTTTGGGACATGGTTTGACCCCCTATAGGAATGTGCGATCATCATGAAACGTTCAGATCACTTACAACTGAATAGATTCTACCTTCCTGTAACGTTTCAGCCTGATTGGACCTTGTTTTCACACAAATGAACCCAGAATGATGTGAAATTGTGCTTCGTGCAACATAATACTGGTTGCCATTTGAAAACCATAAGTGCTAATGACTCCATTCCTTTTTGGGGTTGTATGGGCTGTTAATTGGAGTACTCTAAAACAAACCTGACCTCTCTAGGATATTCAGAAGCCAAGTTATAAGCCCACAAATGTGTAACTGGACTACTTCTTTAAAGTGACACCAGATCCGGTAACCTTTGGGACATGGTTTGACCCCCAATAGGAATGTGCGATCATCATGAAACGTTCAGATCACTTACAACTCAATAGATTCTACCTTCTTGTAACGTTTCAGCCTGATTGGACCTTGTTTTCACATAAATGGACCCAGAATAATGTGAAATTGTGCTTCGTGCAACATAATTCTGGGTGCCATTTACAAACCATAAGTGCTAATGACTCCCTTCCTTTTTGTGGTTGTAGGGGCTGTTGATTGGAGTACATTAAAACAAACCTGATCTCTCTAGGAAATTCAGAAGCCAGGTTATAAGCCCACAAATGTGTAACTGGACTACTTCTTTAAAATGACACCAGATCCGGTG